CGTGGCGAAAGTTATTTGTTTTTCTCCCGTCATCTACATTGTTCATTTCATGACAGTGCTGCCAACTCAGCCATTTCATGGCTACTTTTAGCCATTGTTGAACTCATCTAGCAACTAAAAAATTGCATCTAACCATTTAGCCATTTTTCTAGCTATTTTTTATTGACTTTCTTTAAAAAAATCGTTATTTATGAAATTCCCATAGAGAGTTCATTATATTCACGATGGATTTTGTACTCTATGCTATGTGCCATTTTTGATACATTGTAAGTGGCGTCAAAACATCACGTTCTACGTCAATGTCAATACTACTAGTGTCTAGTCTTCATCTTCACACAATTTCGAATGTCAGATTCGTAGTCCATGGTCAGTTGTCTTGTTTTTGCTAGAAAAATTGCAAAAAATGGATGCGCTATCACTTTTAGCCATATTTCAGCATTTTTTCAATGATCATCTAGCCGTTTTCAAAATTGGCTGTTTACAACACTATTTCATGAACATTTGTGGAAATCAGTCGTTTTCCATGTATTTATTCATCTGTTTTTATTCTTTGTCTCAGTTTTTCTCGAGCTGAATTTATGTATACAAGCTGGCCCAAAAATAAGTTGGGACTAAAACACTTTTTCCAAAAGGGAACACGTTTTATTCTGCTTTGAATTCTTTGTTTTATGAATCATGTCATATGCCCAAACTCAATATTTATCGAAAACCTCACGATTGACATCAATAACTAATTTGAGAAGTCCGTGTGAACTTGATTCAGTGGAAATTGGCCACCAACATGAATGAATGAATCAATCAATTTACGAATAAATATTGAAAATGAGTCGATAATAGTTAGTGGTTAGTTCGTCTCAGTTATTGTAATACAAATGGGCATTTCCAATTGAAAAAAAGATTTTGATGATCGTAAATCATTTTTGGGACACACTGTGTACCCGATTTCTCCATAGGAAGAATAGCGGGTGAAAATCGAAGAGTCCTAGCATTTTTCATACAATCAAATCCCTGAATTTCAAATGAATTTGTATCAACCTACGCAACCTTACTATAAAAAACTAAATTTATCTTGTACAGAGTGAATTGATAACAATTGAATTCGTTTGTGATACTTTCTTGGAATTTATACAAGTGCAGCAAATAACAATGGCTCTATATATAACAAGATTTTCCCAAATTATTATAATATACGAACATTCATAATAGTTATAGAAGAGAGTAGAAATGAATGAAGAAAAGATACCAGTGTGTTTGTGCGTTTGAGGCATTGGCATATCCTATTGATTCTGTTAAATCATATTTTCTACGAGCATTGGAATCCGCTAAATTCCAAACGAGCGCTTAAAGTTCAAGAGCCGTCATGTGATAACGAGTTGAAACAAGAAACAAATGAAAGGGGATGATGTCGCCTTAGCGAATATCCATCAAACGTGCCGCGATTCAAACTGATCTAAGTTAGAGGCAGAGCGTCAATACTTCCGAGAATATTTCGCTCCCCTCAAAAGATAATATCCGATGGACCAGTGTAGAACTCAACAAGTGTATTCGAATGCTTATAGTGCCACTGGTCCATCGGATATTATCTCTCCACAGGGACGTAATATTCTCGGAAATACTAACGCTCTGCCACTAACTTAGCTCAGTTTAAATGTCGGCACGTTTTGACATTCGCAAATGGGACAATATCCCCTTCCATTTGCTTTTTGTTTCAACAATAATTAGAGCAAATTTCCGCGCAGGAAAGTGCGATTTTTCAATCATTTTGCTCAGGATAGTAATTGGCACAGGTGCCGTTCGAACTACAATGTTTTCACTTTCTTTTGGGACATATACCATTTCGTTATCAGATGACGGTGAAAATCTGAACTCGGCTCTCCTACTATAACGTTTGTGAGTTTAGAATAATCCATTTCAAACGTCTTGTTGATATAATTTTTTCAACATGATTTTGAAAATACAAGAAAATACGATTAAAGAAACAGTTGAAATTTTTTTAAAGCAGGTTAAGGTGTTCGAATGTCGAAACATCAATATATGAATGTTCGGAATGGACTATTTATTAGATATCAACCACAAATGATCAAACTGTCCATAATTGATCCCCAGACGACGGTTAAGTCTATTTTCAAAGTTCTTGTTATTGAGTTTCAATCCTTATTCATCATTCCAAACCGTTCAGATCAATAAGTTTCATATTATATATATAGAAGTTACTAGAGGTAAATAAATCATTGGGAACCAAGTCTGGCGAGCGTGCTGGCCCCAAAGAGAAAAAATCATCGGGTGTCATGTCCGGCGAGCGTGCTGGCCATTTTAGGGGTACTCTACGACCTATCCATTCATTCGAAAACTTTTGGGATTGTCTCACCGACCTCGATGATGATGTTAATCGAAATCTATCGGCAAATACTATTTATTTTCACTAGATAGATAATGTCTACCCCAAAATTTCCCAAACAAAGGGCAAGGTCGTAGAAGACTGATAAAATGGCCTCCATGCTCCCCAGATATGATACCCAATGATTTTTCTCCGTGTGATCATTGGGAATCTGTTATTTATGACACGGCACCTACTGTTCTGGGTGATTAGGAAAGAATAATAAGGAATAATAACTAGTGAAAACATAATCAAATGTGGATGAAGACTTTGTAAATAGACTCTTCCACTGTCTGGAAGTCAATGGAGGTCATTTTGAACATTTGTTGTGGATAGCCATACAATAATTCATTCCATACATTCGTTTACTCACAATTAGAAAACATACCATTTGAACTCGAATATCTCGAAAACGGCTTGTTGGAATTCGAAAAACTTTGCACTGCTAGTGTCAGAATTGAATAACCTGTACAATGATGTATTGCATGACCCTTATTCCCTATTCAAATTATTGAGGGGGTTGCCCTAGGGAGGGTGTAGAGGGATGAAGTATGTATTATCCTTATGGCGTCAAACGGTACCCCCTCCAAATAAAAATCGACGTGTTCCGTTATTTTTTTGTAAACTCATTTTTGTGCGATAGGTAAGTCAAAAAGGTTGAATATGGATATTCAGTTCAACAACTGCACCTGCTCAATATACAGGGTGATTCATTGGGAAATGCGCATACAGTGAGGGTAGATGGAAGACACTGAGGTTCTTCTGAATGATTTATCTTTCATGGGTCTATCAGAGATGTATAGAAATTTAGCTGGTGCGCTTGCTCCCTACTGAAGGTCGTTTGCAAGTTTCTCGATGACGCCTACTCTGATAAACCTTTGATAAACATACTTGACGTGGGTGAATCTCGCTAAGCTCATCCTGGTTACAATCCATATTTACAGGAAACATATTACCGACCGATGAATATTTGGATAGGTATATGACTTGGATCAGAGCAGTGAACTGATTCCTGATCAACGGATCGAAACGTCAATATGTCAAAAATATTCTTGAACTGAAAAAATGGTTATTTCTGAGATTGGGGTCAAGTGTTCGTTAGGGACGTGTTCAGTAGTTTCTAAATTTTGTGTATAATACCTAATCCACCATAGAAAAAAGAAAATCTCTGTTCTACAACAGTATTATTTCAGTGATTTGAAATATTAGCGTGAGCTGGTGTGAATAAATTCTAAGGTAAGTACCAGTTACCATATCTGCCTATTATGATTTTCGATATTGGTCTATTTCAATACCTAGTTGATACATTCTTTGTTCTGGTTCTTCAATAAGGAAATTCATCAGATTTCATGAAAGTGAAGTTTATTAAAATCGACTACAAAAAAGATTTCTTGCTTCTATTTCAAATTGAAATTTGAATGAAAATGTAGAGCACCAGTATTTATCCGACCACAGAACAATGATGGAAATAGATTCATCCCTCACAGAACCAAGGTTTTGAACGATTTTTCGATTATGGCGCCTCAATCGCAAATATCTGAACCCCACGTCCAAAGCTCGCTTGCAATTGTTCCATATCGAGAGTTAGTCTGACGAAACAATTGAAGAGTGAGCCCACCAGTTAAATTTCTATACATCTCTGGTCTATCATTCTTTATAACCAAGATACAGGGTAATTCATCAATTTTCCAAATTTTTTCAATTAATCATAACTTATGAACCACCCTGTACATTGTTTCGATATTTGTCTTGTATGTTCTTTGTCCACGGTGTTGACGATTGACATAATAAAAAAGAGTCTTACTCCAGGGCTCACCTTGAAAAATTAATGAGTGGGTTTCGAGTCAGCGGAAACACCAAATCTTACTTATTTTTTCCTGCTCGTTCCATATTTGTGAATGAGATTTCAGAATATCGATATACAGGGTGTTGTTTCTCGAAACCCACTTATTACGTTTTTCAAAGCCTGCCCTGGAATAAGACTTTTCTTTATTATGTTAATTGTTACCACTGTGGAAAAAGAACATACAAACCAAATATCAGAAAAATGTATAGGGTGGTTCATAAGTTATGATCAACTAAAAGAATGGGGGAAAACAATAAATTACCCAGTATCTTGGTTACAAAGAATGATAGATCCATGAAATATAGATAATTCATATAAGCACCTCGCTGTCCTGATGTATACTCAAATCCCACTAGAGGACTGACTAGGAAGACGTTGAAGGACCACCGCAATTATTTTTCATAATTCCGAGATACTAAGTCAGAATTCCGACATAATTAGTCGGAATTGAAAAATTCCGGGATGATACGACGAAATTCTGAGGTACCAAGTCGAACGTATCTCTATATAGCATATTGTTTAACGATCACGGAATGATAGTGATTTCTTACGAGAATGAAGTTCGCAATCATTCGAGTAGGAAATTTGCATTCCGTGCGAGTAATACACTATAATTTATCTACGGCTATAATATATAACAGCGACATTTTCGATTTCTTCATCTTGAGGCCATCTGATTTCATGTCAAGTAATGCTCATCTATTGAACAGATCTGTCATTGCTTGAAATTTGACATTCCATGAGCGATGAGATTTTTCTGAAATAATAACACAATGGCGTCATTGTGATATCAGATACGGAAATAAAATTTATGTCAAACAAAGAACCTCATTGATGTATCGAGCACAGTAAAACAAGAGCAATTTTGTGTTATAGCCGTAGAAAAATTAATTTTCCGATATCTCCGATAACGCTACAACAAATAAGGACCGGCCTTAGCGTGGACGTGGGCTCCCTTGTCATGGCACACGATATGTACGAATTTTAAATTGTTCACCGTGAAAAGGTCGTTGAAGATGCTCTTGACGTCCAAGCACTTGTCCGCGTGAACGTCGCCCACGTGGTCTAGAAGTTTCCTAACCTGGAAACACAACGAAATATAATTTCACCGAATCAAAACATTGAGAAAATGCTACAGATTAATAATTTCGATGAGTTACAATAATATAAAATAACATCAATAATCAATATCATTATCATTACGAATATCTCCAATTGTTCAACATTATTATTATTCAATGTCTATTATGAATATAACAAATATAAGGTTATATTTGTTGAGGAATAATGATTATATTTCAATACAAAGCACAATATTTCAAAAACCTTTCAGATGCTTCAATTTATCATCATGCTCCTATCTCATTATGACTTTTTTTCATACTTGTTAGACATTTCCATATATTTAAAAAGTTCTGAAACTCGATTTGAACTGTACCTACAGTTATTATTACATGGCACTTCTTTTTGAAATTATTTTTGTGTGTTATTTTGTATACAGTGTCATTCATAAAGTCGGCATCATATGGGAAAAACTTTTATTAATGACTTATTTTGAAATTCGAGTTGGACGTTAAGTTCTGCTTCAAAAAAGATGAAAAATGGCCTACTCAATCGGAGTCACGTGACCTTCGCTACATGTCAAAAGTGACATTTTTTCAAAATAATCGCTGAAAGTAGGCTTATTTTTTAGAATATCGAAAAAGTTCACTTGAGAAAGTTGTTTCTATTTGAATTTTACATATATGTGACTCGGATTTCATCTTTCTATCACATTTTTAGATTTCGATATTTTTTAATAATTTTCGAAATTTCTGTAATATTAAAAAAGTTGTAAATTCGATAAAACTACTTCATATCAGTAGCTTCATCATGCTACTAATTTTCAATTACTAATTATCACTAATTATCGACAAAAATATGATTTTCTTCAGAAAATGATAATCTCTGCTTCAAAATTCTGTTATGTTTGATGTAAACATAACATCAAAATTTTGTTATCTTTGAGACAAGCAGTCAGAAACGAAATTCATCTAAATTTATTTTTTCAGTACTGAGAAGATCAGTTTGAATGAATTTCGTTGCTAAATGCTTGACGATATATCAACTTTGCATCAAACATTACAGAATTTGGAAGCGGGTATTATCATTTTCTGAAGAAAATCATATTTCAGTCCATGATCAGTGATAATAAGTGATTAAAAGTGAGTAGCATGAAAGAGCTACTGGTATGAAGTAGTTTCGTGGAATTAACAATTCTTCAAATATTAAAGAAATTTCTCAAAATTAAAAAAGTTGTGATAGAAAGATCAAATTCGAGGAGCATGTGTAAAATTGAAGTAGAAACAACTTTTTCAAGTAAACTTTTTTGATATTCGAACAAATAAGCCTACTTTCAGCGATTAATTTGAAAAAATGTCACTTTTGAAATGTAGCGAAAGTCACGTGACCCCGATTGTGCAGGTCATTTTTCATATTTTTTGAAGCAAAACTCAACGTCCAACTCGAATTCCAAAATAAGTCATTAATAAAAGTTTTTCCCATATGAAGCCGACTTTATGAATGACACTGTATACAGAGTGTCTCACTCTAAAAGGTTACCCTCTACAGGGTAAGTCACGACGAACTTACACTAAGATATAGGGTGTTCAAAATGGAGTTTTTTCAATTATAGAATTTTTTGTTGAAACTGTTCATCATTGGTCAGGACGGCTCACATGTCCCTATCTCGACTTTTGATTAATTATCTACCGACATTTAATTGAAACAAATACAGGGTGATCAGAATTCTGATTTTTGAATCACGGCACTGTCCAGAATGATGTTCGTTTATGAAAACTGATCACATTGACGGTTATTCACACCGGTCCTTTTGTGAGAATCGCACTTCTAATAGCTGAGATATAGATGGGGTGGCCGTTTGAAGTGAGACATGCTGTATAATATATTTTTCCAGAATAATATTTTTTTGTGTGTTATTTATTTATGTTTCGTAGACGTTCATATTGCCCAAAGTGGTGTGAACATGTTTCAAAAGGAAGAAGGAAGCTCCGAGTCGCCTCCACAAATATTTGATATTGTTGTTATAAACTTAGGGACATGTTTCAATCTTGGAAAATATCCTATTCAGCCTAATAGACGTTTTGGAGTTGAAAAAATAGAATGACTAACTATTAGTTCTTCCTGCCGATGCCCGATTAAACATGTAATAATGTAGTTGCCGGTAATGAGGCCCAGCTAAGGGAGATTTGGAATGGAATGGAAAATATTCTTTTGAATAACAAATTTCAGTGTCAGAGCTAGACATCGAGTACTTACTATCAAAAATAAACAAAATGTGGCAACTTCGGCCTTTAATAAAAACGAAATTAAACATTTTAAAAAACTTTGTCATTAGGCCTTATAGTAATACAGGGTGGTCCGTTTTTTGATACGGAAAATTCAACAGCGTATAGTACTCCTTGAAATATTAAATAAACTTCCTATGAACATATACTCCTAAACGCTTCGTTTTCGAGAAATAGGGTGTTCAAGTTTATTTGAAAAATCGATTATTTATTGATTTCTCAGAAAAGCTATAGCCGATTGTGATGAAATTCACATCTATTGTGGAAATATCAATGGGCTAACTTTTAGACCTATTACAGTTCATGAATGAGTTACATATTTTCAGGGGCGTGCATTTCAAAATACATTTTTCTTTTGGGTGTATGATAAATTGACATTCATCATACAGGGCGTGGAAAGAAATTCTGAATTGAGACTCTATCACGAATCTGCAAATTCTCAATTTCAAAAGTTTTTATATTTTATTTTCAAACTCTTATCGTGTGTGTTCAATAGATATAATTCAATGTTCGTCGTGGCATATAGCCAGGAAAGTAGTTGTTTTCTATTGAATCAACTGAGAAAGAGTAAATATTCTCATCACATAGATAATGCGAATTCTCAATGTATTGCTTTATATAAATATATATCCTTTTTTGTATGTTCATAATTTATCTGAGAATATTCCTTTTCTACATTTTTCTTGCCCTCTTAGATTTCTTATCTGATAGCTTCGTTTCAGAAGGAAAAATAAAAACAAAACCTATGCATGTCTCTAAACCCAATGAAAGAAACATTATAATGCATCAAATCTAGTCAGCAATGGCCGTTCACCAAACCAATCATGTAACCATTGCGAATCAATCATTTACGTATTAGAAGAGCCACAACAGGCCATAGACCGCAGTGGATATCCTGCTATTTGTCTTCAATGTTGCCGAGCTAGTACATTTATACTAGTTAGTTTTTGAGATATAAGGTGTCAAACATACGCTTCAGAATGAATATAGTTTTTTAATCAAAAGTTAGAAACGGTTCAAGATAAATTAACGAAATTTTTCTAAACTTTTTGAGCTTTATTAGATTAAATAAAAATTACTCATGAAAAATATTCAGTGGCGGCTGGATCTGGGGTGGCGAAGGAAAAAATTATGGTTACTTAAGAATAAAATTAGATAAATATCAATAGAAAACAAAGGAATCCATAAGAGGAATTGCTCAAATTGCTGTCCGCCAACCTCTGTGCATTTTCTGCAACGTCTTATCATAGAACTAACTGCACTAGAAATTTGTATTGGGTTTAATTTCATTCGATTGAAAGCTTCATTAATTCTTTCAACTACTTGTTCTCTTGAAGCAATTGGTACTTCATAAACCTTATCTTTAATTGCTCCCCAGACATGAAAATAGGATTAAGGTCTGGTGACCTAGGTGGCCAAGCAACTGGTCCTGAACGATACCAATCCAACGATCTGGATAATTTAAATTTAAATGAAAATTAATTACCCGAAAATTTTGTGTAATTATATTACCTTCGCCACCCCAGATTCAGCCGCCACTGAATAGTTTTTATGAATAATTTTTATTTAATCTAATAGAGCACAAAAAGTTGAGTATCTGTGGAAAATTTCGTTAATTTATCCACCGTTTCTAACTTTTGATTGAAAAAATATATTCAGAAGCGTATTTTTGACACCCAATATCTCAAAAACGAAGCGTTTAAAAGTATATGTTCATTGGAAGTTTTTTTATTACTTCAACGAGTACTATACGCTGTTTAATTTTCTGTATTAAAAGACGGACCAACCTGTATAGTAGGATAATGAGGCCTTATACATTGACATTGATAAGAAAGACAAAATAGATGCATAACATTTGGTAATTGAGATCAATAATTAATAATCATTGATTAATTATACTCAGGTCTCAAAAATAACGACGACAATTCGACACACTAATCGTGGTATCACTTCCTGCATTCAGATCGTCATTTCATTTCAGCTATTTTCTTCTCCTCATATAACTGTGACAGTACCTACCTATCACCCCGCCTGGTTCTTTTCTTCGTGGTGTCACAAGCGTTTCTATTTCAGCAAACCTCATAATTCTGCTAACAAAATTTGCTTCTTGGTCATCACTGAGTAGGGATTTTCGACCTGAAGTTTTTTCAAACTAGCAATCTAGAGGTGATTTGAGGGGCATCGTGGTTGCAGTCATTGAAAAATATATTAACTCGATTCTCAACCAGTATCAATTACTCATTTGAATTATACTAACATTCTGGAAAAGTCATAAAATACTCTGAAAAACAGATAAATACCGATATAAAAGTAAGGAGGATAATATGGCCTACAGTCAAATTTCGTAGGCCTTAATACCCTTCAACAACATGTGTGAAGAAAAACCAAAAATAACATTATTCAGACCATGATAAACTAGTTGAACATTAAAAGTCGCGGAAGCATGAAACTATAGCGCACAATTATATGAATAAGTGTTATATAACAAACAACACTTAAGATTGATTCTGCCGATTTTTTTTTATTCGAGCCGCACCACCTTTCCTCACAATGAAGGATTCCGCTCTGGCGGCAGTGAGCGAACTAAAACTTCGCGGACAGGCCTTATTACCCGCACCTACTTAATTTTCTGTTAGTTATAGTAATTCTATTTTTTCAACCCAAAAACTCCTATCAGGCTGAGGATGGAATGTGCATTATTGAACGTTGAAGTCCTAACCTTATCATTTCCAGAAAGACGACCAACAGAATGCAGAGCTGCGCAAACAGCCGGGATGATGCTCCTCGATCTCTCCTTGTTGTGATCGAGATTCCAAGTCTGAAAGACGATGCGCGCTTCCCTGCTGGCATACGGATTGATAGAGTGAGATGGATGGTACAGACACTGCTCCTTGTCCCACCTGCGAAAACATCGGGAGCTTCCAGTTTTGATAGTTCACGTAATGAGTTCGATAAGAGCATCTACACAGAGTGTTATCCAGCAAAATGATCTTGCTTATTAGGCAATGGCATGCTTCAGCTTTCTCAGATGTTGCTTCTTAAGTAAGATAAAAAAGATGAATATTGGTCCTTCAGCACTTCCGTAGATTTCTGTACCGTGGAATAATTCGGTATAAATAGGATAACGACAATTTATACAATTACTCTTAGTACTAGTAATTTCTGAAGATATCTCGAAGTGATGTAACAAGAATTAGAGAAAATGTCTCATCATTGCGCAATGACTTATAAATACCAGATTTCTGTAAACTTTCTGGATTTACGAAAAACAAAATGGCGATTCTGAAGTTGTGAACTTTTCACTGAGGTTAAAGGCATGTTCGTTTGTCCTTGCTCTACCTAGGCCTGTTCGTTTGTATTGCTAAACTTGCTAAGGTTGATTTTTTTCCCATAGTTATCTCTGTTCATAGCAAACGAACAGGCCTCCTGCTGAACTCGATTTTTTTCTATGACTTTCTTTGTTTACATCATGCCATGAACAGAGACAACTATGGGAAAAGAATCAACTTTAGCAAGTTTAGCAATACAAACGAACAGGCCTTGAATAGGTTCTAAATTAGATGCCATCATCTTCTAACACACTAGTTTGCATCGACCTCTGTAATATATTCATACAACAATTCAGACTGATATTGTATAAGCCAAAAGGGCATAGATACAATGTGATGGAAATAAAAATTCATTTTCATTATGGAACACCGAGAATCATATTCCATCTTCTAGTAAGGAGAAGTTACATAGCAAGCTTTTATACAAATGCACTCCACAGACAAAGACACACCCCCACAGACAGAACACCGGTATAGGTGAAACTGAATAAAAGCTTGTAACTGTAAAAATATGCGACAACAGAAGTACCCACATACCAATTTTGTTTATAATCGGACCATAATCACAAAACTCATTCGTCATTTGAAAGTCGCCATCTTGAATTTCTCAATTTTGATGAAGGAATCATAAAATCACACCCAGAAAACCACCAGATACCAATTTTGAATAGATACGGATTATAATTACAAAACTCGTTAACCATATTCGATCCGTCACTTTAAATTTCCCAATTTTGACGAAAGAATCATAATATCCGACCCCGAAAACCCCCAGATGAAAATTGAACTTATAACCTGGAAAAGTTCGAGAGAAATTTTAACACCTATCTCCTCTCCCTATCCTCCATAGGTACGCACGATGTTCTTCGAACGTAATGGGAATTCCTTCCTTGCGCTCCAAGAGACAAAAAAACTACGAAACTCAAACCCAATTTTCACAAAATAATCATAATCTCCGGCGCCGAAACCCCCCCAGATACATATTACGAATAGAAATGGACCATAATTAAAAAACTTGTCCGTCATATTGGAGCCGCCATCTTGAATTTTTCAGTTTTAACAGGAGCAAATCATAATTGCCGGCACCAAAAACGCCCAGATACCAATTTTGAATACAATCGGATCATAATTACAAAACTTATCCCAGATAGCACAGGACGTCCCGAGGACCTCCATGTTATATGCTATTCATGGCCGGACGTCCCAGACTCTAATTTGGACGAAAGGAAATCATCAATTCAATTATATTGTGTTAATTATTATTAATCTCGCAGATTCTATAATTTTTCGTCATAACTCAGATGAATACATACTCATATCTGAATTTGCTTGATGATGTAATCCCGTTATCGACCGCCATTTTGTCGAGGCCCATTCACCGTTCACGATTTTCTGTGGTGCAGTGTGCTTGTGTATAATTATTAGATAATAATTGGTGTTTTGATGGTGTCCTTTATATTTGTTTCAATTGTTGCAACTTAGATGTTATCATGGCTGTTATCTCAGTGATACTAATAGTGGGTAGTTATTTGATTACATTCATTAGACGTGAGTGAAAGTGATTTTTGTGGGTTAGGTGTATCCCAGCATATTTCTAACTAGAAAACATCAAAAAACAAGCAATGAGATGTTAGTGGATGTTATCAAGGCTGTTATCTCAGTGATACTAATAATGGTGGGGTGTTATTCAGTTAGATTTATTACGCTGAGTGCAAGTGAAAGTGATTTTTTTAGGTTAGGTGTACTTATCCCAACATATTTCTAACTTAGGTACGTCGAAAAATAATTTTCTTATTCCATTTTTGTTATTGTTGATTGATGTAATGATTGATAAATGAAAATAATAATTAAAGAATTTTACCTTCAGTTAATGCTTTTTATTATCAAAATCACATATAATTCAAAATGTCCACAGCACTATTAAAGTGGAACTCAAAATATGGTGTCATAAAAAATGCCACAAGCTGTTAATTTGCTCATAATTTTTCATCAAACTTCTATATTCTCGATTATATTTAGTAAAACAAAACATGTTTTATTTCAAAACCAATTTTTAGATCCGATTGCTGTTGGACATCTAAGACATTGAAGACAACATATTTTTGACCTCCGTTACATGTACGATTCAAGTCCCAAAATTGTCCAGTTCAGACCTGAAACGGACCAAAATCGGAAGTCCTATGTACCTCTGGTTTTGTAACATCGTATGTCCTATTTACGTCCTAAAAACATCCGTCGTACTGAAAATGGACGTCTTTGGGACGTCCCGAATATCCGATGCTTATGTCTTTAGGACGACCATAAGACATACTTGTGCTATCTGGGATCCGCCATTTTGTTTCTTCTCCAATAAAAATGTCATGGTGCATTGTTAGCAGAATTATGTACATCTGCCATATTTCAAATCAATCAATATTCAAATTGCAAGATTTGATTACACACAGACATTAAAACAGATGGAAGTAAATAAAAGCTTGTATTGTAAAAGAAGGAAGTGGTTGTGATTCAATTACTCACCTGCCTTGGCATTGAAAGTTGCCATTCTGGTCGCATATGCTTTTCATGTTCTCGTCTCCTGCGTTCGCCCTGTTGAAATAATATCCGAGATATTTATTTAGTTTCAACTTTGAGTCCAATTCAGTGATTAGTTCGCGAAGGGCGTTGCGAGGCACGTCCTTTTTGTTCAGCTCGTCTTTGGTTTTGTAGAAATACGTTCTGATACGGTCCTGCGCCCTTCGGAACATATATTCCTCTTTGGTTTTGGAATTGGTGTTTAGGCCTGCATGTAATGTGATCAATGTCAGTATCGGATTTTTTTCCACGCCCACCCAAAGACAAGCTTATACAGGGTGAGTCATAACTATTGAGACATAGGCTAATAAAGGCGGATTGTTCGAACCAAAATATGGCGATAGGACCAAATATGCCTTAATAAAATATAACTGTGGAAAAATATACCGGGCGATTCGATAGAAAAAGTATTGCCTATAAATTCGCACAAACATTCATTCATTGACAAGAAACGTAATTCACCAGCAACAATTATTATCTGACAGTCCAAAGCTTTATGATTTAAATAATATTTGAAATTCCCTTCCGAGTCTGTGAACTGTTCAATTGCATTTTTCTCAAAAAGGGATGAAAATATTGCAGGGTGATTCACCATAAATGTCATAAATTTGTTTTTGGCTACATAAAAAAATACAGGGTGCTCGGAACAAACGGTCTACATCAGGATACTAGTTGATGTTTTCAAATGGAACACCCTGTATTTCATCGCATTTTTAGATTCTTCCTAAAGAGTATATAGGTTGTTATAAATCGAGATTTCTCAACTATAGGATTTTTTTGTGTCGAAACTATTCATTATTGGTCAAAACGGCTTCCATGACCCTATCTTAACTTTTGATTTTCTTCCAAATATGCAATGAAATGCAGATTGTCCCATTTGAAAAAAATCACCCAGTACCCTGTACTTAGATCCTTCGTTCCGAGCACCATGTATATTTGATGTAGAGGAAAATAAATGGATCAATAATCATTTCGGATGATTTTTGAAATTTTGGTGATTCACCCTGTACCATTATCACATAGAAATTATATTTATATCATATTTTTAATCACTTACTAAAAAAAGTTTCGTCAAAAATAGTTATTTCGATTTCATCATCAGGAATCATTCACATGGCGCCCCCTTCAAAAATCTGTAGGGTAATACATAAAATAATAGTCCCTGTATAAAATTATGCCTCTGTACCGATTTTGATAACAATTGATAATTATACAGTGAAATTATTAGTAAAAAAACCAAAAGTAATATTCAACTTTTACGCCCTGTACGCATTTACTTCAGAAGGAACTCAAACTCGCCGTCGCCGCGGTACGAGAGATGCTCTAATTGACTTTTGATAGACTATACCAAACTTTTTGACTTCTGAATAACTGGAATACCTGCCCAACATTGCAAAGCGTAAAAAATGTGGAAAAACGTTACAAAAGCATCACACATGCGTCAAAACTTCGAAAAAATGTGAGAAAGCGTCACAACCCCCAAAAGTGTATCTACTTGTAGGCAATAGAAATCGCCTAACAGCCCTAAATATTCAATATCTTGAGTGAAATAAGTACATCTTTCTATTCATTATTTAGAAAACTTTTGGATAAAACTAGAAAAAAAAATGGAAAAAATCTCCCTATACATCGGAAACGAAGCCTTCACGCATGTATGTTTAACTTTTCTTCTACACATACCGGACGGATTTTTCACGTTTTTTCAATGTTTGGTGGTTGGGTTAGGCAGGTATTCCAGTTAAGAATAATGTATTGGTGAGATCAGCGTTGAAATATCTGAGGCTCACATAAGTGGACTACTTACAGGATGATGAAGTTGAAAGTATTATTAGTTTTTTCATGATGCCACGCACCAAAAGAAGATCTATGTTACTATTAACAGAACTATCCAGTCACGTCGTTGGAATTGAAAGAAAGACTTTTGACTAATTATGGAACGCATGCAATTCGAAAACAATGACCCTCTAGATTTTTTCCCATCAATACTATCAGGAAAAAACAAAAACAAGATTGAACCTAATTATTATACCAAAAAATCAGTAAATACTTATAGTCCGCGAGCACTCGTACAAAATTTTAAGTGAAAAAATGTCAAAACCACATATTTGGAGCGTCGAACTGCTGAAGATCCTTATTAATTTTGTCAGATGATGGTACGTGGCATTTAAAATCCCATTTGATTGTTTTATTCTCCTAGAAGAAATAGATTGCTGCCTGTCGCCAACCTACAAGTCATGCATTCAACACGTTCAGAGTGGGGGACAAACGAGAAGTACCGAACATTTCTGTGGGACAATTTTTTTCATGTTATTTTTAGCAAAATGCTGGCACACTTAAACAATATACAAAGTGACAACTTGTTGGTTATCACTCAAAATTTTGTACGAGGGCTCGCGGACTACTAGAGATGTGTTCACTCCGAGAACGCTCGCATCCCGGTCGATTTGCCGCCAAGCATATATTTTTTCTCTCTCACATTTATTTGGCTCGTCATTTTACGATGCGCTTTAGAGTCTTCCTGAGTCGAACTGGCGAACCAGTCTATACATTCGTCGTTTCCAGCGACGCGCGAGCATGATCAAGTTTACCAAATAATTAATTGTTTACATAAAATTAGGGGTTATAATCAAATAAATGTGACAACATCGAATAGATGATAACTTATCTTAAATAACGTTTTTTACGTACTTATTTTGTATAATGGATTATGAAACAGAAATTGAACACTTGTAGTTTTAATTATATAACGAGTTCTTCATTTTTGATTTTCGTTCAAAAAAATTCTTCCTTTCTGTTTATAATCAATAAAGTTTCTATAGAAAGTATATCAGTAGCTGGATACCAAAATAAACAACACAAATACTAACGATCTCCAAATGTTTCAAGTTCTCGAGATTCATAATGTATGCTGATGATTTGAAGATCTTCCACAGTGTAAAAAAAACCACTGGACGCTTTCTTGGTCCAACAAGATTTAGGCAGACTTTATTCATATTGCACAGAAAATGCTTTATATTTGAATTTTAACAAATGCCATAGTATCACTTTCAGTAGAAATAATGATCCAATCATTTTTAATTACAGACTATCAAATCATATACTCGATATTCTCACTGAGATGAAATGAAAGATTTGGGAATAATATTCGATACAAGAATGTTGTTCCACAAGCATATTGCATATATTTCTAAAAAGGCAAATAGGACCCTAGGCTTCATCATCAGATCGTGTTATAATTTTAAAGATCCTAAAACTGCTCGTATCCTCTTCATGTCCTATGTCAATAGCACCTTAATTTATGCCTCTATAATCTGAAATCCCCAGTACATTATTTACATAAAACAAGTAGAGAATATTCAAAACAAATTCATACACTATATTGAGAATAAATACTTCCGTAACACGCCTAATGTCGATAAAACTTTTATAAGCAGAAAGTTGAATTTACTTAGTCTCGAAAATAGAAGAGATATTGCCGACATAAAATTTTCGTTTAAGTTGGTAAATAATATGATAGACTCAATCCCAATTAATAATTCCATTCGATATAACGTACCGCAATACCCCACTCGAAGTCATCAATTATTTCACACAAAAGCGGCCAACACAAATTACTATTTGAATTCCCCCCATCATCGTTGCTTCAAAAGCTATAATTCAATATCAAATCTGATTGATATTGATATATTTTGTAATTCATTTACCACTTTTGTAAATAAACTCAAAACGTACTTTTTCTCGAACCTCTGAATCCTCGTTAGCACCTTGCAGATTTATTGTATTTTTTTAAAATTTTGTATACCATCCTAAGTTTAAATTAGGTTCCCCACTAAATTTCTAAGATGAGTATTATAATAATCATAATGTTATATGACTACCTGTGAATACTGTTTTTAGGCTCGTCCTGTTTGTATTCCTGAATATATAAAATAAATAAATAAAATAAAACAAAATTGAGGATTTCCTATTCGGTCAAAACGATCAGCCAGTAGCATCACCCTAACTTTTCAGGCGCGAGCGTTCTCGGGTTTTAAGTAGTAAAAGTACCTACTTGAATGCCTTCGGATTCTCAAGATCGGAAATGCATACATTATATTTTTCTTGATTAATTTTGATAATGGCTCACCTTCAAACCATTCGGGATGCTCGGACCGGCTACTGAATTTCGCCGAGTCCTTGTCGAGCCCTTTGAGCACCTCCGCCAACTTGAACACTTTGTTCTTCATTTTTTCGGTGAAGAACTGCTGGACCTTCTCGCCCGCAGTGAGGTACTCGTCGTTCACCTCTCTGATGGTCTTGTAGAGGATCTCGGCATCGGTAGGGGCTTTTTCTCCCACTTTCACCCAAATCAGGAGAGTCTGGGGCGGCAAAGTCTGAGAAGAACAATGAACTCAATATAAACACCTGGAAGGGATCCTCTGTGAACGACGAGTGAGGCAAAAATATTGTTCAGGCAACCCGCAGTGGTTACGGATACCCATCTCTTTCTATCTTATGTTGGCTAATGGAAAGCGATCGCATTATTTGAAATATTTTCTTGTTTTTTGCTTTTATTTGAGAGTATACATGATTAAATATGAATATTCATTTTGGTAAAAGGATAATGTTGCAATCAAATATTATTTGAAAATGATTATTGATTTTTTTATTGACTCAAAAGTTAATTTTTATTCTTACAGGATTAGGAAGGCAAATGAATACAAAATTGAAATTATATATTCTCATTCAAATGCCACAATATATTGTACCGGGTGAGCGAAGCTCAATGTCTTAGCACTATTAGAAGAAATAGAAAAAACGAAAAAAATTGAAAAAAGGTTCTTGAATGGTATCGACTACCTATAAGGTCTATTTGAGCCTGATTTCTAAGAGTACCTACTTTTCCATGAACATTTCAAAGTGAATAAAAGTACAATGTTATGACGTATTTTTTCATTAAAGATGAATATCTGCATCGCCCAGAATGTTCACCTCCATTTTTTCCTTTCTGGAGAAGAGGGAGCTCCTAAGTCAAATCTGAATAGACAAATATGATGTAGCTCTTGAGATTGTCATTCTCTTTTTTACTTTTTGTTTCAGTGTTTTCACTTTTGTTTGCAATAGAATAGGCCTTCTCGAATGAAACAGTTTGTGGGTTTCATTACCAATAAACTATGAAACTTACATGGGAACTGGAAGTTGTAAGCAAATCAATGTTTACATGAAAATATTGTCCTTAGAATCCAAGTTATGAACATCTACAGACACATCTTGGAAATAAATTACAATAGGTTTTTCCAAGAATCTGAACAATTTTCAACTTACCCATGGAGGACAATTTCTTTTTGTCTTGTTTGTTTAGCATCCAAGGCAACACAATATAAATAACCATTGTTCAATTCGAAATCCCAATTTTTTCAACGATAATCAATTCATACCAACAAACTCAGTCCTTTTGAAGAAACAAAACACGCCAAATGGGCGTGTACACCTTAGTAGAACTTTCAACTCAAACCATGTTTATAATGATCCTTTTATACATAAATAATGATTGACGACATAATTCGATTGAAAAATTAACTGGAATGTTTTATTTTTGGACATAAATAATAGTATACCTTCTGAAAACGTACCCTCTTATGACGTAGAAACCTCATCTCACCATAGTTGAAAGAAAATACCAAACGCCCGGCGGAGACTGAGGCATCTGATATATTAGTTCTTTCAACTGTGATCTCGCGCTAATTCACTCTGTCAGAAATCATGTATCATTCATCTCTGTCTGGAATAGTCTTGTTTCAGTATTAGGGTTTTGACGTCACATCATCGCCTCGTTTTCAGAGGTCCGAAAAATCGGGGATTTCAATAATTTTTTATAAAACGTAGGGAGCTCACAGCAAGAAACGGTTTGCGGTGGTGAGCTTGGGTGAGTTCTATCGAATTATGAAATAAATTTTTTTTGTGATATGAGCCTATTAAGTTATATTTCACAAAACAAAAAACAATGAGTTCGGTCTGCACTTTTTCGCCTGTTTAGATGAAAAAAGATGATCTCAAGTACTCCAATCATTGGAAAAAAGAGAATTTATACACCAATCCGCCATTAAACAACACGATTGTGAAAGAGACAGGTTACCGTAACACAAGCTATCTTTGTTGCAACTGCCCCTGACACACTTTGTGCTATTCGAGAAACTGGCAGTCTCTCTTCCAGGTGTTTATATTGAGTTCATTGGAAAAGAACGATAAACTATAGTGATATTTGCTGACAATGGCTGAGTAGATGAGCTGTACGCGTTCCGCCGCACAAGAATGTTCTTTCTGGTGGAGGGGGTACGACGGTTTGTGTGAGGGTAAATGTGGTGTGCGTGGGGGAAAAGCGTGGTCTGGATAGGGTAGCTAGTTCGTTCGAATACCACTTATTTATATCTCTTGGAGCGCACGAGGAAAATTCCTATATTGTTCGTGGAACATCGTACGGGAGCATAGGGAGAGGAGGTAGATAGGTGTTGAAATTTGTTGAACTTTTGGAGGTTATAAGTTCTTAGGAATACTCCCATTGGCAAATAATTCCAAAGTTTCGCCGTTGTATAGATGAACGAGTTTCGGTAGAGTATTTTTCGATGTGCTGACCGGGCATATCGAGTTCGTTACACTGGTATTGCGCTAGTGATGGAATAATATCAGATATTTCTGAGGACCATTCCCGTGGAAGTATAGTATAGAAAGGTGCAAGGTAGCCGACTTTCCTACGGTGTACTAATGAGGTCAAAGAGTTGGTGAGTGTTGCATCACCCACCATGCGAATGGCTCTTTTCTCGATGGAATCTAACAGCATCAGCGTATGTTTGGGTGCTGAACTCATGTATGAAATGAGAACAGTATTCTAAGACCGGCCGTATATGAGCTTTGTAGATCATGAGAGGCTGTTGAGATGAGAAAGAGATTTTCGCACGGACAAAGAATTCGAGTTTTCGTGAAGCATCTTTTGCAATGGATCGGAGATGATTTTCCATGAGAGAATATTGCTGATGGTAATACCGAGCATAGATGTAGTAGTCTTGGTGGAAATGGTAGTACCAGACATTGCTACATCAGGCATACTGAGTTGCCTTTCTAGAGAAAATACAGGCTTGATCTTTGGTGGCGTTGAATTAATCTAGGTTGTTGGTTCCCCAGGCTGTAATTTCCGCAAGATCTTCATTGACAACATTGGCCTGCCTCCGTCGTAAGTTCTTAGTTAGCTGGAAAGAAATGGGAATTCTAGAAGATAACGCGGTATGGAGAGTACAATCCCCTGCAAAGTTGAGGATAGGACAAGTGGTTGCTCCCACTAAATCGTTGATTTGAAGTAAGAACAATGTTGGTGCCAAAATTGTTTTTTTGTGGAACGCCGGATTTGATAGCGATGGTATTAGACGTTACTCCGTCCACCACCACATGGTACCTTCAGGAATGTTAGCCAGATCTCTTAAGAGGACAAACCAATCATTGGGGATTGCAAAAAGAACCTATTGGTGCCAAGTTGCTAAGGTGCAGAGGTTTCTGATTTCACTGGTGGTTTGACTGGTATTTCACAGGCCTATACTCGACCATACTGCAATGTCGAAATACACAACCATATTTTGGATAGATAACTGCATCGTTTTATGTGCCTTTGTTGAACCTTCCTACTATCTCTTGTTCTCTGAAGACTCTTATTGTAGCCTCTATAATGCCTAATGTTTAGTAACTTCTTCACACTATGTTGTCAAGAAAATTGATCCCTAAGTTTTTATGACAAATGGGATATTTACCAAAGATACCAATAATCGGGAGAATGTAAGTCTACAGTAAGTTTGGGTGAGGGTATGGGCCTTGGTATATTTTTACAAAAAAAAAAAGATGTTGTTGTAGGGCTATAGGAACTCATTTTTGTATCAACATTCCTGAATGTAGCCCATCCACAATTCGAATTCGATCTCAATATATCCCGGGACAACGTCGAACTCAGAGACTATAGAGAAAGCGTAAAACTTACTTGAAAATATTCTTCATTTTCGATGATTGTCCCATCAGTAGTTTGGAAGTCAATTTGCCCAGGCAAAAATTTCAACTTGAACTTATCGATGGTTTTCTTTTTGAGTTCGTCGAAATTTTTGACAGCGATGCCGACGCGTGTCTTCCGATCGGCATCTGTTACTTTGAAGCCCTTAGTAGTTGTCATGTTAGAAGAGTTCTGAAAAAATGAATATATCACTGCGAGAATTCATCAAACAAACTCTTGAAGAGATCAAATTATGATTAATATATCTACCCATTCGAATGTGTTCTTGTGAATTGAGAGAATGAGCTAGACGGACTAGGATAACATACTAGATTAGTTGTCACCATTGGTGAAGTAATTGGTATGTATATCGATTGGATGTTGATTCTATGAATATGTGATATATTTCCTTATAAAAAAACACGAGGACAATGAAATCATTGTTTCTTCTGTGTATTGTTAAATTGATACTTCCGAACATGTTTGTATGTTCAAATATGATTGATGTAGAGTTTTTATAAGAGCCTGTCAGTTTCATTGATACCAGCATAGTGTCAATGGATTTCTGTAAAAGAGGCATAGGTATAGGTGGATATATGTATTCAAACATATCGACAATGACGTCATACCTGAGAACAAATATAAGGAGAAAGGAAACACATTATATACCGTATAGGTATTGTTTTCGCAGATATTGATTTTAGATTCAGCACCATAATATCTCTTCTAATTTCTATGTAGGTAGTGGAACGAGAAGGATATCCCTCTTACATCTCTCCTTTTCTTGTCGCCACCCCTTTCACTCCCCATTTTTCTTCCCCCCATACACCTCCTCGTAGACGAGAGAAGGAAAAGTTTTATAGTGGAAAACGCGAGAGAGGATGGGAGGAACGTTTGTTGCATAATAGCATGACCATTTGTTGCTCTGTTTTCATGGTTATAAAAAGGATTTCCTCATAGAGTCCACAGTGGAACAAAAAAATTGTGATAAACAGAATCTCACTAATTTTATCAAAATGATAGTTAATTACTGGGTGGAATAGCGCAGTGGTTGGGGCGCTCGACTAATTATCAGAACATCGAAAGGTTGCTAGGTTCGAATCTCTGGCTTACCAAAGCATTTTTATTTATGAAACAAGTTATAAAATCTAATTCTCGTAGCCTCGACAGGATATGATTCCACACGATTCGCTCTTGCGTTCTAGTTAACAGTGCTGCTCTTAAGGTGGCCTATGGAGTCAGTAACGAGGTCTACACATAACACACATGGCTGAAGAACCTCTCGTAGAGTCGATGGCCAGTTGGTGTAGTGTTGTATTTTGTGTACTAGACCGATTTGGTTGAAAATTGATGAGGAGGTAGCTTAGAATCAGGAGACAGACATAGGATACTTTCTTCCCGGTAGAAATTCAAGATGGCGGATCCAATATGGCGAATTTTGTGATGATGATTCGATTTTATTCAAAATTGGTATCTGGGAGATTTAGGGGTTGAAGATTATGATTATTCCGTAAAAATGATTATTCCGTGAAAATTTGGGAAATCTAGATGGCGGATCAAATATGGCGCACAGAGATTATAATTCCTTCGTGAAAATGTGTAAATTCAAGATGGCGGGTCCAATGTGGCGGAATAGTTTTGTTATTATAATCCGATTCAATTTAAAATTGGTATCTAGAGATTTTCGGGATCGGGGATTATGATTTCTTCGTCAAAATTAGGATATTCAAGATGGCGGATCCAATATGGCGAACGAGTTTTGTAATTATGATTCGGTTCTAATCAAAATTGGTATCTGGAGGTTTACAGGTCGGAGATTATGATTCTTTCGTCAAAATTAGGAGTAGAAAAGCTATACCTATATTATAAAGAGGAAAGATTTGTTTGTTTGTTTGTATTGAATAGGCTCCGAAACTACAGGACCTATTTGAGAAAGTATTTTTCCATTAGAACCCGCCATTATCTCTGATAAACATAGGCTACCTTTTCATGGCGTTAAAATGCTTTATTCCTACGAAAAAACGGGTAATAGGACAAAGGGTAGTGAGAATTATCCTTCCGTACTTATCTTTTTCACATTACTCCTAAACGGCTGGACCGATTGGGTTAGAATTTTATGTGGGTATTTCAATGGTTTCCTGGATGATTTGAAAATACAATTAGACCTAGTAGGTGACGCTGTTGTCGGTACGTCAACTACTAAACGGCTTGACTGATTGGGTTGAGATTTTTAATACGTAAAACAACAACAAAAATACAAAATATACTGAGTAATATAGTAGCAATAGGTGAACACGAAAAATTGAAACAAAAATTACAATCAAAATTTTACTGTAGATACGTGCATACCTCAGAACGATTGCAAAAAATGTTTTTTTTTGGTACACCAACCGTGCGATATGCCATAATAGTACATCATATAACAAGTGTTATAAATGCCTTTTGTCTTTTCACAAAAAACTCATCTCATGAAAATGAACGATTAAAAGTTTCAAAAATTTCAGTGTTGATTTGTTGATTCCTTCACCCTTCAATTTCCTCATTGGAGTTCTCATCAACGGCCAAATATTCAGAAATATACATAATTAATTGTTAAGGAACGAAAACGGTGTGAATAAATAAACGAGTGTGCCACCGAGAAGGACAGACAGAACAGAATTTTGAAAACTTCTTATCGCGTATTTTCATGAGATGAGTTGATTTTTGTGAAAATTCGGATTATTTGACTTGCAAAAATACCTAGTCCGCAATATTTTATGAAAAATTACACGATTGAAAGTGTCCCTCAGGTAAAAGAGAGAAAAATTAAAACATTGTCATCGCATTTTTTCGTGAGACTAGTTGATTTTTGTGGAAATGTAAAATACTTTGAGTTGAAAATACAAAGTCCAAAAGATTTTATGAAAAAACACAAGAGTGTGGCTTTTTCGAAGGGAAAAATTCAAAACTCTATCAGTTTATCGTGTAATTTCATAAGTACTCTTCCGAAAATTGAGATTATTTTTCTTGCAAAGGAACCCAGTCAGAAAGACCTCCCAATGTCCCCAGGAAGGTTAGGAACAGTTTTTACTGAATTGCATCTAGTATTCTTCATGAGATAAGCGATTTTTGTGAAAATTAAGATTATTTGACTTGCAACCACGACAAGGAAGGCTAAAGTGTTCTTATTGGAATAAGTCGATTTTTGTGAAAATGTAGATGACTGCTTTGAATATTTTATGAGAAAACACAGAGGTGGAGCTTTCTTCAGGGGACTAGAGACAATTTTTAAAACTCGAGTTGAATTTTGTAAAAATTGAGATGATTTTTGTTGCAGAAATACCCAGTCCGCAAGATTTCGTGAAATAACACACGAATTAAGTGCAAGGAGACAGAGTAGAATAAAATTTATGGAACTTTTTATAGCCATTCTGATCAACAACCTTGAAAATCTTCTGAAGTAGTCCATACTCGAAGGGAAGGGGGATGATCAACGAGAAAAAAAAGTCGTCTCCACAAGTTTTCTGGCGAAAATGCAGTCAATTCTGCTTCATTATTTTTGATTCAGACATGTAATGGTCATCAGCCATAGTACTAATAAAGTAGATGTGAAAGTGGCTATAACTTCATGAAGACGAAAAAATGTATTTGAGAAGTGTTTTTTTGAGTGATTGGCTCTGTATTTCTCCAAAAAACACTTCTCAAAAAACAATTTTCCAAATACTGTCTGTAGGTTAATCGAGAAGGTGATTACTTGATTATTTCGGATTTTCTCGCCTCGTTTCTATGAAATAAAAATATGAGTATTATTTCAATATACAGGATGTCCAATAAACATACCGACAAACTTTAAGGGATGGTAGAGGACATCAAAATAAACATTTCTACTCCTTAAACATGAGTCCGGAAATTCTTCGTTTTCGAGATAAGGGTGTGAAATTTAAAATAAAAATCGATTTTTTTATTAATATCGTGAAAACGATTTAGTTGAATTTAATGAAATTTTCACAGATCATTGATACATTTATAAGGTATCTTCTGGAGCTATTAGAATTTGCCCAATAAATTCAGGGGCGTGCCCATGGGCTATGTCGGATAGTTTTTGCACAAAACAAATATCGCCCAAAAGATTTTTCGTAATAATAATTTTTTTGTATGAACAACTAAAAATGCACCTTTTTTGTCCCCTGAAATTTTTCCGTATCTACCTTCGTTTTGAAGAAAACAAAATATCTCTTACATCTATGAAAAAAAACATTAAATTCTTCAAAATTATACCTTACATTTTACCAATGCGTTTATTGAAATATTGAAAAACTAATAAAACATCCAATAACTTTTTCTTACTTATCATTGATTATTATTAATGACTTTTGATCATTTTTTGTATCTCGAAAACGAAGAGTTTCCGGACTTATGTTTATCGAGCAAAAATGTTTATATTGATGTCCTCTACCATCCCTTAAAGTTCGTCGGTATGTTTATGAGACACCCTGTATAGGATGTTAGTGAATAAGTGCGACAAACTTCAAGGAGTGATTCCTTGTGATATTTTAGGAAATAGAGTTCATATAAACATGTGTCCTAACTTTTGATATACAGGATGTTGAAGTTGAAATTTTTAATTGTTTTTATTTATAACGCCCCTGTAAAAGCTTTCATGGTGCCAAAAGTCAGTATGGTGGGAGACTGAAAAAGTCTCACAATTTCAAAATGATTCTTATTGAGGTTATTGAGTTATCTTAATGAATGTTTCGAGAGCACCTACATTAAAATTTGGAGTCAAATCGATTTTTTATTGTTTCCTCAAATATTAAGCGAGATATAGAAGAAACACATTAGAGGAAGAAGACGATGAAGAAAGTTGATATTCCAATTGTTCAATCTAATAAAAATATTGAAGTCAGAAAAATCAGTGGCGTACAATGATATTAACCGTAAATATCGATAAATTAACCCACTGTGACGCCACTGAAAATATTTTTTCGGATTTAATCACATCAAAAGAAGCTCCATGTTACATTCAACATAACCACCGAGTCTCATTGGAATTGGTGGAAAGACATTTGAGTAATGATTAAAAATATTAATACCCTATACATCCCTATATCTCGAAATTGAAGCAACTTAGGACACAATGTTTATATAAACTTCATTTTGTGAACTATCACAAGGAATTACCCCCTGAAGTGTGTCGTACTTATTCACTAACA